TGAGAACGATTTTCGCGTTGAAAATATTTTTACATTTTTCTCCTCTTGTCTGGAAATTCTTCGTTCGAAAGAAAGCGTTTGAAATTTCGCGAATAAATTAGATGACATTTTATTAAATATTCATTAGATTTATTGCGTTGCAGCGATTATCTCTCGACGGGGGTGACGAGGTCGTTTGGATAGTATATATAGGAGGAAAATAATTGTGCAATTATAAAAAACAATTATGCAAACACAAAAACAATTATAAAATGCAACGATACACGTAAACATGTTTTTCTCTTCGAAGAAAATAATGAAACGGAGTCGAATCTACATCGTAAACTACTGCGTACTGTGCATGCAGGTATAAAACTATCCTCTGTTCGGAGGTCGAAGGAAATTTTCCACGCGGAAAGATTTAGATCGACGAGTTTAATATCATTCTGACGAACAGACGGCGAAAGATAAATGACGGCCAGGAATGAGAAAGTGGTGAAAAATAGCGGTCGATCTTTCGTTGCTGGCTCGATGACTTTATCGGAAGGACGACGGATGCAAATTCAACGTCTAACATGCAAAATTCACTCGAGCTCTCGCAACGAGTCTGTAGACTGCGGATGCGTGTGAACGGCGTCAACGATACGCAAATGATCCGCTACCTACACGATTTCAAGAGAACGTCGTGTAAACGCGCGCCTGCACCGTGTTAGGTCTTACTTCCATCGAGCGCGTTTACACGACACCTTGTGAAATTAAACTACGTGATTTTCTTTCTTTTTCTCTCCCCAAGTTGCGTCCTCAAGGCCTTGTTTCGTCGATATTTTCCTGTTTCCAGCGAAGCGTGCGAGTACGTACGAATTCGGTAGATGTGTATTGTCGCGTTCGATTTACGACAGGCTTGCTCGGGGCTGTTGCATTTACATATATTGACAGATGCGTGTGCACGTCGACCAGTTCCTCCTCGGTGCATAAATCTTGCCGCGCCGGGGAGAAAATGACGGAGAAAATGCCGGCATCCATCATTCGCCTGATGGAAAGGTTAAGACAGATCGATCTTTTTACCATTCAGCGGTTTTTTTTGCCACCGGGCCGTATCTACCGTCTAAATTACACCTGTGAAATCCACGACGTTTACTCGCGGAATACTGGTTAATTAAAATCGATCAATTTGGAACTTTGTTTCGTTCTACTCGGAGCGTGTAATCTCTGATGATAACAGAATAGGTTGAACGAAACGTGTAAGTGTAAGCGTAAGTTACGCACAGCTGGTGGAAAACGCACGACAAATCAGCGTCAGCGAGTGAGCGTCGTCTATCCACGTCGTGCAACAAACGACAGTCGATCCGTAGGAGACAGACAGTTCAAACGTATTTCTGGTACTTTTATTTTGCTTTGATTCTTCTCTTGCTTCTCCTCTTCTCCGCGTATATTTCATTAACGTGCGCTTAATCCCATCGTAAAATTGATCCTTCTATGGTGGGGCGAAGCTTCGGATCCATTGGACCAAGTGAAACGATACTTTCAAACAGATTGTCCCAAGCGTTCAAATCGAACGAACGCTCTTCCTCTTTCACTCTCCGTCTCCTCGATAATTTTTCGAACGCATCGGACAGTAGTCGTGCGGTAGTGGAGCGCAAAACCCGATCCCCGATAGCAGTTACGTTATTAGCGGGCAATTTCGTTCGAGCGTGGCCGAGCTTCCGGCAGGTCCGTGAAAGGTCGCAGAGACCGCGAGGCTAATCTGAAATTGCTAATTCCGGCGGGCTAATTCAATTAAGAGAATGGCCGCACGACGCGGATGAGAGGGGCTGGCTAGACCAGTTAGAAAGGGTGGAAGGAGTTCGGTGGCCGGGGTACACGGTATTAGGTGCTTCCTTGGCGGTATACGGTTAGTTGGAACAGCGGGTTTGGGCTGACTGACTGGGCTCGGCCAGATTGGCTAGGTCGACCCTGGCTAGAATAGAACTGACTTTGCGGTAACTGCTGACCAGAGGCCCTGGCGCGGTCCGCTGCCTACAACGCTCGAATCATCGATGCTTGCTGGAAACTAACGGCGGAACGAACGTTACGACGGTCCATGGGGCTTGGCAGAATGTGCGCATGCAAAGTAGAATGGACACACCGGGAGGAACCGGGCTAACCGGGCACCAGCGTGTACCGAGCCGAGGGCCAAGCATAGAGATGGTCGAACCGTGGGGCTCCGGTCTAGCCCAACCCGCCAAAGGAAACCAGCCAAATCCGTCGTTTGTTTGCCCATCGATTCGTCCACGTCAGACCCCCAGGGTTGTGCGAACCCAACCGTTTCTATCGTGCTCCGTCGCCTGAGGCTGATCGAGGAAATGGACGCGTTCCATAGACCGGCGTCCTCTTCCCCCCCTCCCCTCTACCCCCTCCTTCCTCCCCGCGTCTACCTCGTCTGCCTAGACGAAACCAGTCTCTTTTATTAGTTGACGATCTCAGGACGATGTTTGGAGATTTACTTACCTATTGGGCGAATATTGGAAGAAACGAACGATATCCCGGAAATGATACATCGAGACGATTCCTTTATTCCTGTTTGTCAACCGGAGAATTTAATGTTTCGATAGTTTACACGTGCAAGAGAGAGAGAGAGAGAGAGAAAAGGAGGGAGAGAAAGAGAGGGAAAGGGAGGAAAGAATACGAGGGACGCAGCGTTTAAAGTAGATTTCCCTTTCATTGGTTCCCTCGCTTTCTACGGAACGCTTTGTCCTATTGAAAACAGGAAGTTGGCGTATTAGCGATCAAAGGGGGCAGAGAATCGGTGGAAAACGTTGAACGAGAGCGCGTTTCTTTCATTTGCATCACAGCTAAACGTTCGGCTAGCCTGTTGCCGGTCTACGACGGGGGAATTTGTGTTAACGACATTAAAATATCGAACAACCGATCCTCGTTAAAAAGTTTCGATTAAAATAAATCCTTTTAGCGCGGCTCGACAGGTTTGGTCGGAGGTGAAGTGTATCTCCGGCCGAGAAGATAAGTTTCAGGCTTCCCTTCTCGAGGTGGCTCGATTTGCCCTTACGTTTAGCCTGACAAAAAAGAAAGAGATCTAATTAGAAGTGGATTAAAATTTAATAACTGGCTGAAGGAAGTTATCGCGAATGCTATTGGTGGGTGGTGTCTGCTTCGTTTAATTGCACCCTATCTCTTCTCCGTCTTTATCAAGATTTCACAATGTCTGTGTCTCTCTCCCTGCAGTTCCGTTTCTGTTTTCTTTCTTTTCCTCCGAGGAGCTCGTCCACTCTGTCGGTCGTTTGAGCAACAGCTTACTTTGCATAGACGTTCAACTTCGTCATTTAATCTATCCTCCTTCGCTATCGTTGAACGTCGCATCTAGAGCGTCGTTGGCGACAACTTTTTCTTCTTTGCGATCGAACAGATCTATCCTTTCTCGTTTTTTTCTCTTTCCTCTCTATCTTTCTTCGTTCGTATTTTAACGCATTAACGATATATTTGCTGGAAATAACTTTCACATTTGATTTATTTATTTGTTATTTTTTTTTTTCGTTTTGGTCAATCGAGATGATTAATATTTGATATAACTTCGAAAAATTCTTGGACAAGTTTGTTGTCTGGCACTTCGTTAGCGTTTAGCTCGCAACCGATGCGTTGCAATTTTACTTGAAATTTGAATGTGGTATCGATAGGTGGGGATCGTATTTCGGTGCCAATGATACGCGATGATTCGTTAATTCGCGCCCGAGTTATCATCTCCTGTACACTACGGGTGGCCTCAGTCTCTTCTCGGATTTTTTGTAACCGGTGTATTTGCACGATTAACGCGTATATTGACTCGTGTAAAGCGCGCAGCGATCGCGCGATTGCTTCCTCCCTAGGGGCATTTCCCCGCGGCATTTTACGACCGACGACGTTTATGCGCAGAGAATCGACGAACGAAAAACACATGTGCACGGTGCATAACCGCGTTAAAGTCGCCAATCGAACGCGTCACCTCGAAAACGAGCATTTCGCGACGCGCGTGCGTTGCAAAAGTTGGAAATTTTCCACGCCACGATCTGCCTTGAAACTCGTTCAAGTTGCTCCAGTTTTTCATTTCGAGTTTCGTCAGTTTCATCAAGGACTAAGCAGTGACTTCTAATCTGACAGGATTATGAAATTTAGGTGAGAGATACAACAATGAAAATGTGTCAACTAAATTCTCGGAATTTCTTTTCGTCTCTCCGATATTCAAAAACAGAATTCTGGTAATATAATAGAAATTGATTAGAAAAAGTTGCAAATCAACGTTGTCATTCAACGGCCTGAAAGGAATGATCGAAACTCTCGACGAGACGATGTCTCGAATCCCTCTATATTCTATATATTTGTTTCACAAATGCTCGCGACGACGTCCCGTGCGGCCCAAATTCTTCCAAATTTTTCGAGGGAAAAATCGCGAGGCGAAATCAGGCTCTGGTCCTCGTTGCCCGACTTTGTAGACTCGTTTGTTGCGATACAACACTGCATGCACGCTGCGTGGGATTGTGTCTTGGGAAGTAAGTCGGTGCTATTCGGTGGATAGATTGCGGGTGGAGAAAGGCGCAAAAGAAAAAAGAAAAAGAAAAGAAAAAAAAAAGAAAAAAAGAAGAGCCGAGGAGAAGGTAAAAAGGAGAGGATAAGGTAAAATAAAGAGGAGGAAACGGTCGCGCCGCGCGAGCTTTGTCTGCCAGATAAGAGGTTTAACCTCCTTCGTAGGCTCTGGTCCGTTTCTTACTTCCGTCTGACCTCGATGAGCGCGAAACGAACAGCCGGGGGCGAGATGGCCTCGTTACGTTCTGATGATGCAACGAATGCATTGCCCGTTTTGACCTAGCGGAGAGGCTTTTTTCTTTTCTTTGCCGGTTTCGACTACGGCCGAAAGAAGTCGCGGCAAAAGAAGAAGAAGAAAAAGAGGAAGAAGAGGAGAAAGAAGAAAGGAAAAAAGGCGGAGAAAACGAATGGCACGACTGCCCACGCGTAGCACCTACGTTTCACCTCGAGAGGAAGTGGCGGCGATTCGATCACAGGTCGCGGCTCGATGGCGCCAGAGTAAGTGGCGGTGACACGTTTACGTGGAAAAAGTGGACTTTAACTTCGTATTGAACTCCGTCTCTCTTTTTCCCTTGCCCTCGGTGAAGTTTGTCTCGCGAGGCGCGAGTCGCGCGAGATTGTAGGACAAAGTCGTACACGCGGTTGGAATATCCATTAAACGGAGGGTAAAAGTTCGACAGCGACACCTTCCCTGCAACGGCACCGCGAGAAAAAGTTCGATTTAACGTTCTGCTTTGACCTTCTACTCTTGTTCCGCGGGAACGTCCCCTCTTCGTACTATCGATCTCGCGTCTCTCAACTTCTACATCGTGCCCTGTAAAATGTAGTTCTCTTCAATTTCGGATTAACGGATACACGGATACACGCTGTGTATAACGTTTTTTTGCCTGCTCTCTCTGGCCAAACTTCGGCTGGAGGGGAACAGATTTTCCGTGCAAGTAGATCGAGAGTCTGTCTATACAGAGGACTCTGTCGCCAGACTCGAGGAGAATCTCATCTCGGGTCTAGCCGAGTATCAGATAACGCGAGAATAATTGAAGGGAAGATTAGATTCTGCTCATGGCCGAGAGCTACATTTGACTGGGAGACTTACGCGTGGCCCGTGCTCCGGCCACCGCGGATGGAAAAAGATGACCTCGTTAGAGGCGTTTGGTCTGGCTAACGGCTCGAACCACGACCGAGCACCGAGCTTTCCGATGTGACCAGTCGCTAACCGTTGCTGGCCATTCCCGGATTCCTCGTGGGAAAGCTTGCTTCGGCTAGCGGAGGGTTGGCCGCTTCGACCTGCACCATCAAAGATTCACTGGCTCTCGCACGCGCCTCTGCGGCGCGGCCGCAACCTCGCGCCAACCCTAAATCCGACCGACCCCTCTTGCTTCGTATTTCCGAGCCAAGCGTAACGCAACTAGCCATTGCGCTATTATATACTTGTCACCGAAGCGACTTCCGTGCCGCCTCACCCTTCTTCTGATGTCGTCAGCCCTTCCAAGTTCCCAAGTTGCACGCGTTATTAGGCTACCGTGAACCTTTGCAATTTGGATTATCCATTAAATCACGGACGTATAAATGGATACGAGCTACGGTTATCTGGAGACACTCTTCTTATTGATGTCTTCGCTGATGTGTTCAGAGGAGAGTTAATTGAACGCGGAGAAGATGTCTGAAGAATTACAAACTCGGAAGTCGATCTGTTATTGCTTGTAATATTAGCCTTGAAACGAAACCCGATTGGATACTACCGTAATCAGAGCTTGTCGGCTCGCGTAATAATTCTAATGAAACGAGAGAGGGATCGAGGTCCCCGAAGATGAATGTATAAGGAAGAGCAATTAATCGACCAGCCTTGAACCCTGCGTGCTGACCAAGTCTCCCACTGGTTGGTCGATGTTTGGCGACGTCGTCTTTAGCGGGCGCCAATAATCCGCTTTGAAATCTTCTTTTCTCGTCTCTGAGAGACGGGTATGGAGGTGTTCTTGGAACGATGGGCTCGTATTCTCGATCGACTCGATCGAGGCGACGGTAGTCCAACAGATCCGAGGAAAGAGAATATTTATTTATGATTTGTCGCGTGAACATTTTTTTTAGATAGGCATCTTGCCTCGAGATGCGTTGTTCATCGCGAAGATAGCAAACTCTTGACTTGTCATCAAGAACTCAAAGCTCGGAACTTACATTTCGAGGTTTGCATTTTCGTGGGAATATACCTATCTGAATGCGGTAAACACGCATAAGTCAACGTTCTTCGTTCGGACGCAGGCTTTGTAATTTCTCTTTCGCATTTTCACCGTGGTTAATAACTATATTATGTTTTCTTCTTCGGTGTCAACCGACTGTTTTTCTCGATATATTTTCTTTTCTCTCGACAGAAATATTCAACATGCAATACCTCCTGAAAACACGGATTTCAATATACACTGCATCTCTCTGTTTTGACATCACGGCAACGTTGTACTTTATCTTTGCAAATCAAACCGGTCACGTCGGTGAAATCCGATTGCTCTTCGCAAACACGTACCTACAGTTTCTCTGTAATCGTCGGACGCTCGCGAGAACGTATGCAAACGCGGAAGAATTAAAAAAGTCAAAGAACTTGTCAAAGTGTGGATATACTTGTTAGAGAGAGAGAGAGAGAGAGAGAGAGAGAGAGAGAGAGAGAGAAAAGAAGTTATCCGTTCAAGCAGATTCGCGATCGAGTTTTCACAAAGAGAAATTCCCGCGAAATTCTCGTAACGTGATATCGTATCGATCCTGACCTCCGCTTCGAGGCATTGTTCCTCTAATCCGAAACAAAAATTCCCCCGCATTGTTACGTAGTTTCCCGAATCGCTTTTCACGAAAAACCTCCGAACGTTCCTGGTCTGGCCAGGCACGGTCACGTTCTACTTGGGCGTTAATTCGATGCAAGGATAAAGACGAAAACGATTCAACTTGAATCGAGGGGGCGGAGCGAGGAAGTGAAGAACGAAGAGGGGACAGAACGATCCTTCGAAGTGTCTTCTCTAACTACCTGCGACGAATTAAGGGAGGCCAGCAGCGAAATTAAAAGAGTAGCGAGAAAGTTCGAAGGGTTCAGCACGTTCCAATTATTTGCACAAGTCGCTCGCGCTCGCGCGAGGACCAACTGTGGTGTCGACTTCCTTTTTTTTCTCCTTCTCTTCTTTATTTCCCTGGCTCGGGTCTCCACCCTGGCGGGCTCGTTTTCTTCCTCGAACTTGCGACACGATAAGAGACCCGTCCCCGTGAAAGGGGATTATTTTGGATTACTTTTTGCATGGACTTTCGCGGCCGAGGGACGGGCAGAGGCAGTACGCGGGGCAGGAACTCAATACGTTGCATAAACTGCGCAGGGACCCTCTGTACGAAGGTGGAGGGAGAAGGAATGGGAGGACGGAGCTGGCTGGTTGGAATTTAATTTCATTAGCCAGCGCGAATTTCTTAGCGAATCGCGTGTGTGCGGTGACTGGACTCAATTCTCCGGTTCGAAGAAACGCCGCGTTGTCTCGCGACAAAAAACAAGATGACGCAGGGAGAAAAGTAAACGATGGACGAGGGACGAGCGGCTGTGCGAATGAACAGCCACGTCGAGAAGAAGGCAACTTCTTCAAGAAGGAGGAGGGAGGGGGAGAAAAAGTATAACGCCTGTTATAAAAGAACGTCGCGCCGATATCGATTGCGAAGGTGAAACTCGAGGTCGATTGGTCACGGCGAAGCTGGACGAACAACGAAAATAATTATCCCGTTGCTCCCGGTGAC